GGGGGGGGGGGGGGGGGGGGGGGGGGGGGGGGGGGGGGGGCAGCAGGGGGAGGGGATTGCCTCTTCAGCCTGAAGCCGGGCGCCAAAACTACACATTCCTCTGCTAGCAACCCCCCTCCCTGCTTATCCCTCCTTACTTGGATGCTGTCGCCTTCTTCTCACCTCTCTAAACCCTGAACCCTGAACCCTTAAACCACCAGTACTTGGCCCAGCTATTGGCCGCAGAAAAAAAAAAAAAAATAGAGTAGAAACGTTTCTAGTCGGATGAATTTGGGCGCTCCTGTAGTGGCTCATATGTTTCCTGAAATTGTGGCTTCTTGATGGGCACGACTTAAACCACCAGTACTTGTACTTGGCCCATACATCGCCCGCGGGCGTTTTACGGTACTGCGCCGCAACCTGCGGGGGCTTCAGGGTACCGGACCACAATCATGGCTGGAAGTGCCATAGTCCAAAAAGAAAACGAAACGGCTACCCAGCGGTTCGGCAAAAACTTGGCGCGCAGGCGGCAGGGGGTTGCGTGGCTCGGCATCGATAGCTGGGCCGAGTACTGGTGGCTTAAGGAAGTGCTGGTGGCTTACGAACACCCTACCGTCTTCACCTGAATAGAACGCCCGCTCATTATAGCTGTATCTGGACTGGAAATTGCAGCAGATACGGCTATAATGACGGCCAGGCGTTCTATTCAGGTGAAGACGGTAGCCCTGAAGTTTTGACGGATGCCCCTCGTGTTGCCCCTGCTTAGCTTCCTTATCCTCGGCACTGTGTTATTCTGGACATCATCATGATGTCGCTTTCACCTTTGCCCCTGGTGTTGCCCGTGCTCAGCCCAGCTGTCGCCCAACGTCCCCTAAGTCCCCTTTTCCCACCCTTTCTGACTTTTTAATTATTCCATGCCATACCATCCCCTTAGCTCTACTACCGTCTTCCACGGGCCGCGAACATAACGCCTGCTGCGTCTGCCGGCGGTCTCGTAGGGATGGAAGTGTTGGGGGAAAGTCTGCAGGCGGGCCTCGTAGGGATCATGATGGATGGAAGCGTTAGGGTGCGTTGTGTTTGGGGGGAAGAAGTTACTACTAGGCATTGTGACGACGTGGGGGGGAAAGGTCCGGGAAGTCTGCAGGCGGTCTCATAGGGATGGAAGCATCCAGCTTGGTCCACTCCGAGTCGTGAAACAGGAGGTGGTAGTCCCTGGCGATCCCACGGTTCCCTTCGGTCTTCCCTTGTCCCCCTTTCCACTCCACTTTCCCTATCCTCCCCCCTACTAAGGCTTGCACCCCCCCAAGCCACGCACCCCGATAATGAATGTACACAAGCTATCTTTCTGGTCTGGTACGTCCATAATGAGGGTGTGTTGTGTTCGGGGGAAGATGGTAGTGGCGTGATCAAAGAGTATGATCCCTGTCCCGGAGATGTGTGACCTGGGAATGGGCCCATAACACAGTTGGACTCAGTTGGGAAGTTTATACTGGCCCCTGCCCAGACAAGTTTATAGAGGCCCATTCCTGGGGGGAAGAGAGAGAGAGAGAGAGAGAGAGAGAGAGAGAGAGAGAGAGAGAGAGAGAGAGAGAGATGTGGGGGAGGGAGATGGTGGTGCTCTCTATCCCTCTTTCACACACACACGGACACACAAAGATGCAAAAAGAGGAACAAATGAAAAACAGTGCGTGTTTTTTTTTTTGACCAGAACCTGGGCATGGGCATACTCCAACCTGGGGGCAGGTCCCATTAGCAGCGTTCACTCTCCTCAACGCCCGAATCTGGACGTGTTTGTGGAGATGTGCCATTGAGGAGATTCAATGCGACTTTGGGCATGTGCATACTCCGACCCGTGGACAGGTCCCATTAGCAGCGTTGAGTTTCCTCGACGCCTGAATCTGGACGTGTTTGTGGAGAGATGTGGTTGAGGAAACTCGACACGACTTTCTGCACATCTCCACAAACACGTCCAGATTCGGGCGTTGTGGAAAGTCAATGCTGCTAATGGAACTTGGCCCCCTGGAGATCTTGAAGTGTATAGTGAGTAGTTCAAATCTTCTTAGGCCCAGTCCACTTTTTTTTTTTTTTTTTTTAGTTTTTTTTCAGTCCACTTTATTCTGGAAAGCCTTGCCCGCTAGAGCAGTCCCCGTCCGGCGTCCGGCGTCCTTCACCCTCTCAGGGCATGCCCACACTAGGACTT